AGATGGGTTTCAAGCATGCGCATGATTGCGGAATCATGCGCATTAACGCACATTCATGCGCATTTTATCCCATCAAGTTTTCTCTCCTCTCGATCGTTTTTTCTTTTTTTGCCTTTTTTTTATCATGCGATATTTTGCGCATGAAACATTTCGTGTGCATTAATGCGCATTCATGCGCATGTTATTATAAAATGCGCAATTTTCCCATCACTAGTCATAATTCATTATATTTTTCGACTAACAATTTTTCTAGATAACCCACGCTATTAAGAGATATGTTAAGTTTGGCCACGATATTGATTCTGGTGAAGACATTGAAAGGGCAATAAAGGATATAGCAGGAACGCACATTGCTCACCTAGAACCAAATAGAAATCAGCGTTAGTATAGTTGTAACTGTTTTTTTTTTTATAACAAAATAACACTGATAAATCTAAAACATTCGCCATGTTGAATGGCACGATTCGAATGCCATCATTCATCACTATCACATGATTTCACGGACACGTATGTCCGCGAAATCATGTAATAGTGTTGAATAGCAGTTCGAGTGGCATTCGAATCGTGCCATTCAACACGGTGAATGTTTTAAATTTTACCAGTGTAGGTAATAAATGTACATATCAAACAACGCAGGCGATAGCAATTCAACACTAGGAACAATGGCGGGAATTCAAAACTGGCACGAGTGGTCTTGGCCCAATAATGAAGCCGAAATAGGATATATTTATGCAAGGTCATTGCCTAGAATTGGCCCATGAAAAAAATTCACGCCTGCAAATATACAAAAAATTGTGAAAAAGCGTGTTATCAAAAAACCTGAACCTAGCGTTACTACACATAGTTATCCGAGCAAATCGTGGACTACACCAATGCCAAAAATTCAAGGTCATAAAAATTTATTATTTGGGTATCATGGGGTATACTGTTTTGCAAAGCTTACATTATCCGAAGAAATGGTATTAGGCTTGTCAATTATTTGATCGATATCGGCTTGCATAAAGCTGATGTTGAAGTTAAAGAATTATAAGTGGATTTTTGTTAGAATATAAGAAGAATTATAGGTGAAAGTTTAAGATAGAAAATTTTTTGAGTATCAAACCTGGCATTTTTAGATACGGCTTTTTTTTATTTACATTCAGTTTTTTTATTTACGAATTACTTCTGTTTCATTTAGGGTAAAACCTCCATAAGTGCAGCTTATGGACCGAATTTTAATATGTGCACTTAGAGAACAAGAAAAGTGCATTTATCGAAATTATATATATATGCTGCAAGGGAAAATGGAATTTCGAACCTAATTATATTTTGTATCGGGTATAATAAGTATACATTATGGCAAAAATTTTTGAATATGGTTCAACCGGGCAATGAACATGTGCCGCGAAGCGGCACATGTCAGTCAATCATTTGCCCGGTTGAGCCAATTTACCGTTATCCGACAATTTATGGTAGGGAGTTGTCGACTGAGTTTTAATTCGAGTAAACGTGATTATTTCATAACACATGAAAAAAATAACTGAAAGAAATAAATTCATGATCATCTATTTATTAGCAAATCGTATCCAGTTCGAAAATATTGAAAAACCGAAGTTCCATTTTCTTTTGACAGCACCCGTATTTGGGGCCAGAATTTGTGTATTTAGAGAAGTGCACTTATTGAGAATGATTTGCTATATTTTATTCATAGAAGTAGGATATTGTAAGCAGTGCTGAACAGTACTGAGGTTATGCTACTTATATGCAAATAAAATTATCTAGTGCTTGATACTTATAATACCTGCGGATACGTTCAGATACTAAAGTTTTATCACTTATATTAGTTTCACTGAATGACGATTTGGTAGATGAAGATGAGAATAATGAACCTGTATGTAATTTGCCTTTTTTTTTTTTTTTTTTGCAAACAGATAACTAAAAATAGCTTATACATTCAGGAGACGATCGATTTAACTGATACAGCTGAAATAGATGTTTGCAACGAACCAGAAGGGTCATAGTTTTATTTATATTTATTTTTCTTGCGCGAATTTATTAGTTTTATCTAATATTTACTGTCTCAATTTCATATTTTTCAATTTTCGTATTTGAATTATGTTTCGTCTACTTTTTATATCGGTTCATATATTTATTCATATCTTAAAATTTTGATATTTTCTCTAATTTCGTTACTTCCAACGCTTCATAGATTTTTTTCATGTTTTAAACTTCTGCTTGCCCATTTTCGACTTTATTTATTTTTCATACTTTCGTTACATCTTACCTTTTTTTTTTTTATTATTTTATTTATTTGTATTTTTACATTTCATTTATGTTTCTCTCTTTTATTCGTTGTTTTCTCACTACATTTATACTTTCATATATAGTTATCAGGTATTCGTCGCCGGTTGGTGTTTGAAAGAAAAGCAGAAGAAGAGATCAGTAAAACAACTCACACCTCAAATAAAAGGTTTATTAGAAGCCATGTTTCATACCGGAACTGCAAGTCCAAGAAATAAAATGTCTGCGACCGAAATGCAACAAGAGTTGCTCAAACGGTCGCAAGAAGGTGAAATTAGCGAGAGTGACGTGCCTGAAATCTCGACAATTTCAAACTGGATCAGTGGCTTCTCAAGAGCTTGGAAACGAGCAATGGCAGAACGTTCTTTGGAGGAAAATACATTATAAACCCACAATAAGCTATAATAAACGTAATACATACCTATATGTATATTGATCTTTATATTTTTTCTCTTGTTCATCGCCCTATATCGTCGTGTTTGTTGCCTATATCGTCGCTAGTTTTATTGTATTTGGTTCGCTCTTTTTATTGTATTCGTCGCCAATATCGTAACTATTTTTATTGTATTCGTCGCTCTTTTTATTGTATTCGTCGCTCTTTTTTTTTTTTTATTGCACTAGTTGTGATCGCGATCGCATTTGATACTTATTGTGGTTGTGAATCTGACGCGAGTCCAAAGTAAAGTTTTTCGCTTACAAGATAATAAGTATTTTTTTTGTCATAAATCGCTTCTAGAACTTCTTAATTAGGCTATTTGTATAATAAAAACCAGTTATCAACGATTTTCTTGTACTTTGCCTTTTCGATATTTTTAAGTATTCTTTATTATATAATAGTAAAATCGATAATTTCCCCCCAAATTTATATAATAAATTTATGCCGATTTTATCTGGATCAGCAATTAATAAGTTTTTTTACTATAAAAGATTCACCTTTCTCAGCAATTATTTTCTGCTTTTTATTAAATTTATCTACTTATTCTTTTTTTTTTTTAAGCGATCCTGCTTTTATTTATGTGAACTGCTATAAAATTTATATACAATATACTAAATTTTTACAACTTATTGCTCTAACTCAATAAAGACTCACCAGGTTGAAAACCCAATGCGACCTGCCATAAC